CAGTGCTACGACGATTCAGTCGGCACTGCTTGCAAATTCCAGGTACACAAGCGCCGTGAGCAGAACTGCCCTATTCCGGGAGACCATCTTGGTTACAATAATCTTGCAGCCCCCGAGATGAAGGAGGACACTCATGCAGCCCTCTCACTAGGCTAGGTTGCCCATCACTGGCATAGATGTTTTGCTGAATCAGGGCTTAATAAAGCACATGCCTAAAGTTAAGTACATGCTGAATGTATAGCCCCTATTCAGAACTGGAGTGGTTCAATTGCCAAATCTGTCAGCAGAACAGGATAATTATACCACTGCAGTTCTTCCGGTAAATTTTCCCATGTAGACAAGCTCTTAATAGCTAAGCATTATAAATCCTAATGGCTGACTGAATTGCCACATAAACAGGTAACCAATGAGAATACAAACTACTGTAAAGAAGAAAAAAACGAGGAGTCCTATGGCACCTTAGTCACTAAAGGTAAGTCTACACAGCAGGGCTAAAGTTGAATTATGCTACACAACTTCAGCTACATCAATTGCGTAGCTGAAGTCAAAATAGCTTAACTCAGCTTTAGGTGTTGCCTTCACAGCAGGAAGTTGAAAGAACAACACTCTTCCTTCAGCGTCCCTTACTCCTCATGAAATGAGGGTTACCTGGAGTCAGTAAGAAGTCCTCCAGCTCAACATTATTTTGAAATAAAGGCTTGAAGTATAGACATGCTCTTAATTACTTCCAAAATAATGCTGCTGTGTAGACGTACCCTAACAAATTTATTAGGGCATAAGCTTTTGTGGGTGAAACTCACTTCATGAGAGGAATTGGAGTGGAAGATACAGATGCAGGCCATTGTCTTTGACCCAGATGTATCATGTGATTTGTTTACAACCACATTAGTAGACAAAATCCAGGGTAAGGTGCTGAAAAGGCTGTAAAGGAAGCTCGGTATAAAAGAATCCAGGCAATTGGCTTTGTTAAAAATGACTTCTTTTTAGTAGCTAAGAGCAGGTAATATTCAATACACAAAAATCATAACTGAAATGTCTGCCCCGAGCCACATTTGTCATGGGGCTGATGTGGTTAAGGCAGGGGGAAGGGGTACGAGGGTGAGCTCATATCTTTTATTGGACCAACTTCCATTGGGGCGAGAGACAACTGTCAAGCTACACAGAGCTCTTTCTCTGGTCTCATGTGCTCTGGGTAGGCATGAAAGCGTGTGTCACTCACCACAGAAGTTGATCCATTAAAAGATATTCCCTCACCTGCCTTGTATCTCTAATATCTTCAGCCTGACAAGGCTGTCTGCTTTTGATGGCCCTAACCCTATGCAGCCAGGACCCAGTCACCACTGGCTGCAGTTTTTGCATGCGAGATGGAGCAAGTTCTGAACTCGCCACATCCAGGACTGTAGTCAAACACCTCAACCATTCAGCCCTCCATTCCTCACAAGACTTCTGCATAACTTGCATGGCAGCTCCCTGCACTTTTCTAACAGTCCCACTTCAATAGACCAATAGGCTGTTTGATTTCTCCTGCCAGGCAATTCTGCCACCCTTGCTCATCTCAGACATGGAACAGTACCTTACATGGCAAATAGTCCCAGTGAAAAATTAAGAGTGAGTTGATACAGAAGTGTTGCAATTTCTTTGTTATTACAGGCTCTGAAGCGCCTTTATGGTTTTAAGGTAAGAGAAGAAAAAAGATGTTGCTTTTTAAACCCTCCTATACTCTGTTGGTTAAGGCAAGTCTACAATGGCTTCCAGAAGGGGATTTGCTGTGGCTTTATAATGGATTGTGACAGCAAGATGTTAATGACTTTGTGTTTGCCCATGTCTCAGTATTGCCTCATTCTCTACCAGCTTTACAGAGCAACCTGGTAGAAAGACACTTCCAGTGTCAATTCCATGGCCAGTGTGAGTGTTAAATCCAAGAGCAGCCCTTGCCAATGTAAAATCATCTATTAGCTGGGTTTGCTGTCTCCTCCCCACTGGTATTTATTGGTGTAGTCTGGACTGGTCTAAATGCTATTTTTGCACCAGTTTAGCTTATCTGTTTAGAAACCGATTTAAATGACACTGGTGTGATTGCTCGGGGACTGGGGAAATCCTCAAAGACAGTGGGCACAGCCGGGCTGCTGTGTGTTTTGGACACAGCTTTATGGAGTTCCTGGGTTGCTGAAAATCGACTGTTTTCTCCTGTGAATTCAGTACTTGATGGGCTGGTTTGGCATCTCTGGAGACAACAGGCAAAAAGCCACCCAGGTGGGATTCTGCCTGCTTACGCCAGGCTTGAATGTGCTTGCCCCAAATCTCCTAAGAGGCACATCAGAGTAAACAATGCTGTGGTACCCTACTCGATCACCTCAAACCTGATCTGCCAGCACTTCTATATTGATGGCAAACGGAGGCTTCTGATGAAAGGAGCGCCCCTTTGTCAGTGTGACCTCGGCTTACACAGGCCACCAAAGAGCTGTCTGATGATAACATCTCTGGACATGACCAGCTGATGTGAGCCAGCAGCCAGACTCACACGAGGCGGAAAAGCTCTCTAGTAAGTACCCTTTGCCATTCCACTGCTTCTGGTTCAAGAGCTGGGAGCGGGGAAGAGACACGTGTACTGCTGGTGAGTTTCACAAGCACCCCAGCCCACACCGGCAATGTCTAGCCACCAGCTTCCCGCATCCCTCCCAGGTATGTGACCTAGAGCAGGCAGCATCAAAGCAGGAAGGGTCTCTGATGTAAAATACCAGGGCTGGTGCTCCCCCACTCAGTACAGACACAGGCAGTTTTTCTTAGTTCTCCTGCCACTCCCGGGAGCTGGCTTTCTCCGCCGCATTTTGTTAAATGCCATCGTGTAACCCACACACCTACTGGGTGTGGGTCACTGGTCCATGCGGTGGCACTGAGAGCGCTCCCAGAGGGCGTCTCCTCTGGAGCAGTGTTTTTCAAACTTGTTTTCTCATGCCCACTGGAAGAAAATTGTTGGTGTGGCAACTCAACCTCATTTGACTAGCGTGTGGGCTCTGGGATGGGAGCTGTGGGAGGAAGGAGGGAGGTCCAGCTTGAGGGTGGGGTCAGGGCTGGGGCAGCAGGGACTTACTTTGAGCAGCTCCCGATCAGCAGTGCAGCAGGGGTAGGGGCTAAGGTAGCTTCCTGCCTCTCCTGGCATCGCAGACCATGCTACCCCAGAAGCAGCAGGTTTCCTGGAGCTGGTGTTCGGGGTAGGGGCTGTGTGCCCCTGTATGCTCTCCCCTCCCCCCCCCTCCCCCCCCCAGAAGACTG